AGCCTTGAATGCTTTCCTAAAAGCTTCCAGGAGTGAGACCTCTAACTTGAACATTCCCTGCTATGTACTGAGGTCGTAGTTGACAGAGAGAGCCTGATGGTTCGCCACTTAAGAGTCGAAAACTCACTGAGGAATAAAGCTTATGGCCAGCGTATTTCTTGGGGTGGGGAAGGATGCCCTGTCATTCCCTGTGTTTGACAGATATTCCATCACAAGGGAGTATGGTATGAAAAGACTGTACAAATACTCATAGTTATTGGCAAGCACGAAGTATTTTCTTTCCGCCCTCTTGGAAATAGATGGAATAGATGAGAGAACCTGTCATGGAACCTTAGCAATCTTGGCCATTCCCTCACTTGTGCTGCCTGGCCAATGACACTAAAGAGAGCGTCCAAGGCCTCCTGTTCTTCTTCCACCTGCAGATCCAGATTAGACTACCCTCTTTAGAAAGTCCTGATGGGTTATCTTGTTGTCAGGCCAGACTACAGGAGGGGGTGCCACTATGGCTTCATTCTGCAATGAGGAATACAAGGTTTGGCCCAACTGGCCATCTTTCCCAATGCGGGCTGATCGCTCAACCCCCTCCTCCATCTGAGGAATAACTGGCCTTATTGCCTGAGGTGCCTATACACAGCAAGTGGGTGGCACCAAAGAAGCCTCTGAGTTCCTATACATAGTAACCTGGGGCTGAACTATGAAATCCTAGGGGATCTATGGCACCATTGTGTCAGCTACTGTGCCTCGAGCCATTGGGAGTTCTGCAAAGCTGTCTGCGGGTCTGCCCTGCTGAGACAGCACTGGGTGCAGTGCAGAAGATTGCACCAGGGGCAGGGAGACAGAGTCCGCTTACTGAATGAATGCTGGCGGAGGACCACAAAGGGGTATGTGCTGTCTTCTCTCCAGTTCCAAGAACTCAGTGATGATGGCGATCTCAGTAACTAAGTGGAATGCTTCGATTGGCAGCCCACAGAGCTACGTTGATCCCGGGCCTATTCCTGGCTGGCAGTAATTGGCACTGAGACATCGAGCGGGATCTGCTGTGCTGCCACCACTAGGGTAGCTCGGTGGATAGGCCAGGAATAGGCCATGAATACTGGCAGTGCGGAGAGCAGTGCTGTGGTCGAGGAGAATTACCCCTAGAGCAATGAAGTGCATATTGGGAGCAATTCTCCCTGCAGTGCCACTGTTTCTGGGAGACGTATGCCTCCACAGGTCTGTGCTCCGAGTCCAGTTATGCTTATGTATCCAGCCCCAGACTCTCTTCACGGACTGAATGGGGACATGAGAAGCTCTCTATCTGTCTGGGTGGGAGAACAAGAATGCTGGGCACCTGGCGACCGAGGAGCAAAAGGCGGCTTCCCTCTATGGCAGAGCCCAACCAGTGGTAGAGCAGGCAGGATTGGCAGTCAAAATGTCTTGCACCACCTGGAAAGCTTCCAGCATGGAAAGGACTTGAATGTCCGGGGCAGGCAATGGGTAAAGGTAGGATTACACTGGTCAATCTACACCAGGGCTTTATCTGCTGGATGGTCTCCAGCATGATCCTCTTTCTTGGCACTGGCCTTGCGTGGGGGCAGGGGACGTGTGCTTGCCCAACTTCTTCGGCTTCTTAGATGAAGCCATGGAAGGCAACCAGCACCGGGCTGACGGGGCTAAGAATGCTGCACACTTATGCACTGGCTCTTGGCACCTAGTCTGAGTGCCAGTCCTAGGGAGTGAGGGTGGACTCCATGAGTAGGGCTTTTAAACATATAGCCCTAGTTTTAATTGTCCTTAGATGAAAAGATCTGCAGATCTGACATTTTTCAGAAATATGCACTTCTCCCAGACAGCAGAGGCACTCAACAAGCAGGTCACTGACTGGCGTATACCTGCAGCATGTAGTACAGGCTTTAAAGCAGGGGTGGCCAACCCATTCCAGATGAAGAGCTGTGGAGACAACATGAAGAGCTGGGGCAAAGTTGTTGAGGAAAAAAATGGGGGGGGGGGGGGGGAAATAGGTGCTGGTACACGGCTGCTGCTTCTTTTTCTTTTTTTTTTTTTTTAACAACTTTTGCCTGGGTCTGCACGGCGCTGCCCCCTTTTTCTGTGGGCTCAACAACTTTGCCCTGGCTCTTCACGCTGTCTCCACTGCTGTTGTGGCTCACAAAAAAAGCACTGGGGAGGGGTAAGAGGTACAAGTTCTGGGAAGGAATTTGTGTGCAGGAGGAAGTAGAGAAGAGGCTTCTGGCTTGTGGAGGGGGCTCCAGGCTGGAGAGTGTTGGGGTCAGGTGGAGGTTTGGGGGGCTGAGCAAACCACAGGCTTGTGGCTCCGAGGGTGCAGGAGTTTGGGCTGAGGTACATGAGGGGCTCAGGGCAGGGAGGTTGGGAGTATGATGGGCTCAGGACACAGATGTGCAGTGTGTGGATGGTGCAGGAGTGCTATGGCAGAAGACTAGAGATGTAGGGATGCAGGAGTTTGGGGATGTGAGATGCTCAGTACAGGGGGTTCCAGTGTATAATAGGCTCAGATTTGGGTTCTGGGGGGGGGGGGGGGGCAGAGTGTTATGATGCTGTGGCCAGATGGAGGCCTGGCCCTAATTGGGGGTTTATTGCCCAGGCTTCATTTTTAAATAAAATATGTCAAACAAAATGTTTCAACGTTGTCTTTTTTTATGAGAGGGGTGGGGAACCTGTTTTGAGTCAGGGGTCACTGACTCACAGAAAAGTCAGTTGGGGCCACACAAGTGAGATGCAAAAAGACAACCGCTCCAAAAACCCCCAAAGCCTCAGTAACGTGGCCCCAACTGTGCTGGTGGGGGTAAGGGACAGGGTTCTGGTGGGTGCTGGGAGAGATGTAGGGATGCAGGAGTTTGGGGATGTGAGATGCTCAGTACAGGGGGTTCCAGTGTATAATAGGCTCAGATTTGGGTTCTGGGGGGGGGGGGGGGCACAAGTGAGATGCAAAAAGACAACCGCTCCAAAAACCCCCAAAGCCTCAGTAACGTGGCCCCAACTGTGCTGGTGGGGGTAAGGGACAGGGTTCTGGTGGGTGCTGGGGCAGGGAACTCGTGGGGTGGTCTGGTCAGGAGGAGGGGACAGAGACAGCTGGGGCCAGTACCTGGGGATCCCAGGTCTCAGGAAGCACGCTGGCTGCTCTTCCTCTCCCCTCCCTGTTCTAACCCAATCCCCTTCCCCAGAGCCTGGCAACCCCCAACCCAATCCCCTCCCCCCAGAGTCAGGCACTGACCCCCCACTATACCAAGCCCCCTCTCCCTCGCTCTAACCTAATTCTCAGATCCTGGAGGCGGAGCTGCCACTACAGCCACATGAGAGACTCTTCAGGTGCTGGGGCGCATGCACTGAGTGGCTGGCCTTGAGACGTGCTGGCTGGGATGCCGTGCGCACCCTCCCCCGAACCCAATTCCTCTCTCTTCCCCTCCCCCAGACTGGAGCCAGGGACCCCTCCCTCCCCCACTCTAACCTAATTCTCGGGTCCCGGAGCCGCCACTGCTGCTACAGCAGCACGTCTCCCTCCAGGCGCTGGGGCATGTGTGCTGAGTGACCAGTGCGCTGAGCAGCCGGCATGCCGTGTGCATCCCCCCAACCCCTCTCTCTTCCCCTCCCTTCCCCAGAGCCAGACACCTCCCCTCCCCACTCTAACCCATCCTCCTCCCAAAATAACCTTATGCCTGCTGGTGCCGCCACCACACCCGGAACCTCTGCCACTGCCTGCGCTCAGCGGCCGGCTACTAGCACGTGCAGGCTGGGACGCTGTGTGGGACCTGGCCTGCATGTGCAGGATATGACACAGTGCGCTGGAGATTGTGAACAGAATGGTGCAGGCCATGAGCACGTATGCAGCCCAGCCATGAGAGCGGCTGACCTGAGCAGTTCTGGGTTCTGTTCCAGTTCTGTCAGGAGCTGCAATTTTTTTCTCTGCGAGCTGCGGGTTAGCCACCCCTGCTTTAAAGCCAGAAGAGTGAGCATGCCCTGTTGCTAGGCTAAGCCCCTAAACATGGGGAATTAGCTCAAATGGTAGAGTGCTCACTTAGCATGCAAGAGGTAGTGGGATCGATGCCCACATTCTCCAATAGCTTTGTCCTGCCATGAGGACAAGGGACTGGACTCGATGACCTCTCGAGGTCCCTTCCAGTCTTAGTATTCTATGAAAGGGAACAAAGGAATTATTAACGTACAACTATTTACACGTACTTATCTAGAGGGAAACTATTTACAACTGAATAGGGAAACTTACTAAAGCTGCAGCCAAGTCTGGAACACACTGCTACTGGTGGAAAGAAGGAACTGAGCAGGGAGGGGTCTGGGGGCACCTTATATAGTGTGGCATGTGCATGCTGGAGCCAGTCTCCTATGGAAACTGCTGAGGGAAAATCTTCCTGCACCAGTGCATGTGGCAAGTTATGTTGAATGGACATGAGCAAAAACATAAAGAAGAAGAATATGGTGTCTGTAAAATATAAACATCTTACATCTGTAAGATGTAACTGCCAAGTTATAATTATAAACCTAAATATATTCAGAAAAATAATTGCCAGAAACAGCACTTTCATTGAAGATCTACAAATACAGGTTGTATCTCCCTGGTCCAGCAGCCTGGGGACCAGTCCTAAATGAGAGAATTTGCCAAACCAGGCGAGTTCCCCTGCCATTGGCCCCCCAGCCAACCAACAGCTGTCTGCCAGCCCTGGCCAGCCCCCCACCTCATACTGCGTGGCTCCCAGCCATGCCACCAGAGGGCTCCCTGCAATGTGGGGGCTCCCCGGTACAGGAACATCCAGCAGTGCTGGATCAGAAAGTCCCAGTTGAGGAAGGTACAACCTGTATTATCTAAGTGCTTTACATTGTTTTCATAACATAGCATATAAACAATTCCCAGAGCCAAACATTTTTGCACCAGCATTTGGCACAAAGAAATCTCACCTCCTAGCACAAAGAGGAGATGTGACTTTTGACGTGAGGATAGTTACTCTTGAACAACAAGAGTACAGAGTTCCTACCTGGTTGTCATGGGTATAACTTTGTAAGTTTTTATCTGCATGTTCCTTTGGCTGCAAGAAGCATCTTGGGAAAGGATAATATTCATAACATCAAAGAGCTGCTCAATACGCTGGTCCTGCCGGAGATCTTCACCACCTTTGACAAGAAAGGGATGATCTCGCTCATCACTGCCTCGAATGTTTATACGTTTTGGTTTCCTGATAGACTCCATTATTTTTATCTTGGCAGGGGAAAAAAAGCAAAACATTTTTTGACACAAATGAAAGCATGTATTACTATAGCAGCCAAATTATGACAAACGCATGGGCCTCTTGCATTTCCTGTGTACTTGCTCCTTTAGATGGCTTTATTTTTACAAATTTAGGAAAGTATGGATAAATCCAGTCCCTCTGTACAAAACACCCAATTGCCAGTACGGAAAACACCTCAAATTAATATCAATGAGTACTTAATGATGATGTTATAGTGGACATCTAATTAATAAGATAAATCCTTTGTGTACTGTTAGATATCTGCTCATACACTACTTCCCTTCCCCCCAAAACACTAGATTGAGCCTTAATGTTTATATTCAAAGCCAAAAGGGATACTGTCTTTAATAGACAGCAACTGTTAGCATACCCGTTCATCGAATCCAGAGATTTTTGCATGGTATTCTGGCAATGGTTTACTTTTACCGTCATACTGACCTGAAGATAAAAAACAGGCATATATTTTTCATTTAAATATTAAAATAAAATATTAAACTTTAGTTAATGATGGCAGGTTCAGCCTAATACTGAACTTTATTAAACTAGTAGAGGACTAAGATTTTAGAAGTACAGTAAAACTCCAATTGTCCAGCATCCAGTGGTCTGGCACTCCCAATAGTCTGGCACCAACTGGAACCCAGAAGTGCACCCACCAGCCGGACAATTGGAGCTGCTGGCGGGGAACGGCACGGCAAGGGGCGAACCCTCCGCCTTTTGCAGGAAGGTGGAGGAAGTCCTGCGCCGCCGCCAAGAGTTTCCGGGAGGGGAACGGGCTCCCCACCCCCAGACTGCAGTAGTTATCACCAAGCGGGGGGTGAGGAGCGGCGCTGTGGGACCAACCCGGCAGCACCCCAGCTGCTCTGCTCCACCACTCGTCAGTTTCAGCCGCTTCCCCAAGTCCGCCTGTCGCTGCTGAAACTGACGAGCGGCGGAGCAGAGCAGCTGGGATTCTGCCGGGTTGGTCCCGCAGTGCCACCTCTCTGCTTGGCGATAACTACTGCAGTCTGGGAGGTGGGGAGCCCGCTCCCCTCCCAGAAACTCTCAGTGGCGGCGCGAGGCTTCCCCCGCTTTCCTGCAAAACAGCAGAGGGTTTGCCCCTCGCTGCGCAATTCTCCGCCCACCCCCCGGATGCTGTGCGGGTCCTGGCAGACCCATTACAGCCCCCTGCCAGAGTACCTCCTGATACTCTGGCATATCCGATAATCCGGCACCACGTAGGTCCCAAAGGTGCCGGATTATTGGAAGTCTACTGTACATAGTTAAAATAACAAGTATTTCAATTGGTCATTCAATAAAATATATGCCATGAGATGCTGGAACTCTTACTGCTTTTAAATGGCATACCTTTTTCAAACTAGAATGCAAAAATCCATTAGATCTTTGTTCATAACCTGCTGGTATCAAGGGGTTAGAAGCAACAACATACATGTTCAGTGATATTTTTTAAAAAGCAAAGACATTTTAAAACATCACAACAGTAAGTTCAGCTAAATACAGTCTTAAGGAACAGAATCTTTGTACTTTTGAGACTGGAAAGATCTCCCAGATTTCTAAGTACACCTCTTGGAAACAGCAGATACAGTGCCCACAGAAAAGATGTATAAAGTATTAAACTGGGAGGATGTACAAGGTATCAAACTGAGAGGAGTCTTGTTCTTAGCTAAAGAAGACTAGAACTTCTTCCAGGTAGAGTATCTACTACTCTTATAAGAATTCATTATATGTACTGAAAGGGTAGCATACCAGGGATCTCCAGTTCATTCCTCATGAATTCAGCTTTGAAGCCACTCATCCAAGGTGAACATTCTTTCAGATTTCCTGGTTCTTTCTGGTCTTTCATTTTTGAAAGGAGAGAGAGTGTAATTCTGCTGAAATCATCAGCCTTCATTTCTAACAGCTTTGAGCCGCCTTTTCCAAAATGACAGTTAAACTCCTTCCCAAAGGTCTGAAGTTAAAATTAATTTACAGAAAAGGAATTAAAGTTCATTTCATATATAGCAAGATCACACAGTGCTTCAGAGGCACAACACTGCATTTTTAGAGAATCAGTTTCATTCTAGTGGGGATTTATTTTTGGAATCCCTAGACTTAGTAATTATCAAGTCCTCTCTGACTTAAATTTTATTTATACAAATAGTTATTTAGGCTGTAAGCAATTTAGTTCATACTCCTGTCATTTTTATTTGTTTATAAAACATCATGAACATTTACAACTGTAATAATAAAGAAATAAAATGAGCCATCAAGGGCAATTGCATTCCGATTCCTATGGAGACTGAAATGAGGATTTTCAGAAAAGTTCACACAAGTGCAGGATTTCAGTAACATTCTAAGGTGGCTCAGACAACTTTTACAGTATTTTTTCTATTATTTATATTATAGCCGAAAGCATTTTTTGACTTTGATTTAGTTCTCTTTCCTGTTTAGTTACTAGATTGAGAATTCCAAGGTCTGAAGGGATCACTATGATCATCTAATTTTACCTCCTGTATAGCACTCGCCACAGAACTCCCCCAAAATAATTCCTAGAGTTAGAAAAACATCCAGACTTGATTTTAAAATGGTCTGTGATGGAGAAATCACCACAATCCTTGGTAAATGGTTCCAGTGATTAACTACTCTCACCTGTTAAAAATGTATACCCTTTGCCAGTCTAAACTTCTAGCTTCAGCTTCCACTCTCTGGAATGTGTTATATCTTTCTCTGCTAGACTAAAGAGCCCATTATTAATGTGTGCTATCCCCTGTAAACAAGTCACTCCTTTACCTTCTCTTTGATAAGATAAAAAGATGGCACTCCTTGAGTGTATCATTACATCCTTTTTGAACTGTCAGCACCACAACTGGACATAGCATTGCAACAGTGTTCACATTAGTGCCCCATACAGAAGTACCATAATCTCTCTGCTATGACTTGAGATTCCCCTGTTTATGTATCAGAAGATTGCATTCACTCTTTTGGCTACAGCATGATATAAAGAGCTCAAGGTCAGCTGATTATCCACTACCACCCCCAAATCTTTTTTCAGAGTCAGAGTCCCCCAGAACCTGCAAGTATGGCTTAAAACTCTTTGTTCCCAGATGTATACACTTACATTTTGCCATATTAAAATGCATTTTTTGCACCCAGTTAACTAAATAATCTAGACTGCATTGAATCAGTGGCCTTATTGTTTTCATTATTTACCACACCCCCATTTTTGTTTTATCTGCAAATTGTATCAAGTAATAATTTTATGTTTTCTTCAAAGTCATTTAAATCGTTTAAATGTGTACATCACTCACACTGGATGCACTGAACAGAAGATTTGTATGACAAATGGCCCTTTTTAAGATCTGAACACAGATAATTTCATGTATCAAAGTCACCTGGTAAAAGTACGCTCAGCTGCACAGAAGTAAAATAAGTTACGCTGAAGACAAGATCAATGTAGTGTGTGTGTTATAATGCACATTTAATAACATGTATGATTAAATATCCTCCTTGGTTTTGTGTGTTCTTGAAATATATCAGAATTATTTTTTAGTTAAGCTAGAGAGAAGTTGGCTTAATCATTAACTGCAATGTCCAGAGATTCCAAACCCAAATCCACTCATGCCCATTAAAATGACTTCTTCTCTAAAAATATATTACAGGCAGTCCCCGGGTTACATGGATCCGACTTGCATCGGATCCCTACTTACAAACGGGGTGAGGCAACCCCGCACTAGCTGCTTCCCCCCAGCAGACCAGGGAGACGCGGAGCGGCTTTTCTCAGTAGACACCTCAGCTTGAGAATAAAGGACTGAGGGAAGTGAGGTGTGGGAGAATAAAACTGAGCTCCGGAGAAATGTTTGGCTAGAGTTTCCCCTACAATATGTACCAATTCCGACTTACATACAAATTCAACTTAAGAACAAACCTACAGTCCCTATCTTGTACGTAACCCGGGGACTGCCTGTACTGGAAATCATCAACATGTTTAATATTAAAAAATAAAGAAACCCTGCACACTATACACATATGTACACAAACTTTTCCTTCCCCATTTCTTTATCACTGAAGGCTCAGATATTTCAGGATTCTTTGCAGAGCCACAGCCATTAACAAGCCATTTGATCCCTTTTAAAGTATTAGCATATTAGTAAGAGGCCAAAGCACCAGAGAGGTACATAGGCAGAAAGCTTTAGGGCACGTCTAGACTACCCTCGGCTTCCGAAAGATATGCAAATTTGGTGCAAATTTGCATATCTTCTTCCTTTTAGGAAAAAAAAAGCAGTCTAGATGGGGTTTTCCTTTTTCGAAAGAGCCCTTATTCCTCAAAAAATGAGGTTTACGAGGTTCTTTCGAAAAGGGGGAGTTTTGTGTGATAACCCTTGTCTAAACTGTTTTTGTTTTTTTTTAAAAAAAATCTTCCAAAAAAGGAATTGGAAGAAGATATGCAAATTCGGTACAAATTTGCATATCTTCTTTTGAAAGCCAATGGTAGTCTAGACGTGCCCTTAGGTAGGGACAGAGGCAAAGTCACTGGAAAGTGAGCAGAGGGTAATAGCTGAACAAGTAAACTAGTGCCTCAGATGGGAACATTCTACAGGACAAAGCAGTCAGGAAATATTAGTTGAACTGTAACAAAACTACAGTTACGGATTAACAAGTATTAAAGGCCTAGTCCTGCAGCCCTAACTCAAATCATTCATATGAATAAGGGCTACATGATTGGGCCAGAAACTCTTATCTCAGGGGTCGGAAATCTACTGCGTGGCATGTGAGCCAGTTTTCACTGGAATGCGAGCCTCCCTGCCAGATCTGGCAGCCGGATATGGCAGCTGACCATACAGGACTGTCCCGATTTTAACTGCCATCGCTCCTTGCGCAGCGCAGAGGACTCCTCCCTCCTTCCTCTCACTGCACAGAGCACGTAGGTGGCTCCATTGGAGCTTTGCCACGGACAGTTGGATCTGCGACCCACTGCCCCACCACTGCGCACTATGTAGCTCCCTTCCTGCCCCCACCACACTGCCTCTGGCGCATGAGCCCCCAGTCCAGTCATATTGCCACTGCCTCCTTCTCCAGGCCACTTGCTGTTACAGGGGCCTCTGCTGCCACTGCCGGGGGGCAGGACGGGTCCAAAGTTAAACCCAGCGAAGCCTTGTCCCACGTCTCCATGCCTTGGAGTTGTCACCTCAGCCCCAGCAGGGGCTACGCGGAACCGGCTGGGGCACTGCAGGGTGGGGCACAGTGGGGCTCAGCCGGTGTGCTCTATGTGCTGCCATGCTCTCCCCACCTCCCACCCCAACCCACCCTGCTGGGGGAATGGAAGCGAGCCAGATCTGGCAGGGAAGGTTGGGGTTTCTTCAACCCCCCTTCCCCCAAACCGTGCCAGGATCCTTGCTGCATAGAGAAGGGGGAGGCTGAGCTCCCTTCCCATTCCCAGCCCATTGAGGGAACGACAGCATGCTGTCGGGAGGCTTACCCCGCTGTAAGGGGGCACGAAGTCAGGTAAGTGTCCCCCCGTCATCTGCAGACCTCCACTCCCAATCCCCCTCACTCACTCCTCTCCCCCTGCCAAGACCACACACCCCAGCTTGATGCGACACCCTCTCTTGCTCCTGCATCCTCCCTTCTGGACAGACATCCCACCCTCAGCCTACTCCTGTAGCCCCGCAGCCACACACTGCACCCTCCCTTGCTCCTGCTCCCTTCCCCTTAGCCACACACCCTACCTCCCAGCCTGTTTCTGTACCCTACCTCCCACCCAGACCCCTTCTGCACCCCACCTCCTGCCCAGATCCTGCACCCCATCCCTATCCCATTCACTGGCAGCCCTGTCATGCACACTGACCCCCTCATTTTTGTCCCCACTCCAGAGACTAAGGGAGTCCACAAAATCCACAAACCCTCGACTCCAGAAAAGTAAATCTGAACCCCTGGGAAGCCCTGAACCTCAGTCCTTCCTGTCCTTTCCCTTTCCCACACTCTATGGGGCTGGAGTGCCAGAGGAGTAAGGTGTCTCAGTTGGGGGCCACATCAGTGTGGTTTGGGGGTTTTGAGGATTTTTTTTTTTTTTTTGCTTCTCACTTGTGTGGCCTCCAACCCCAAAAATGTTCCCAGCCCTTGTCATAAATAAAGAAAATATTGAAACCTTTTGTGCTAAACACGAATTAATATTTTATTTTATTTAAAATTAAATTTGATAAACTAACATGAGAAAGTTAAAACACTTAATCTGTTTAATAATTTAATTTAAACTGTTCTCCCTAACTGCAGCTGGTTCAGAAAATAAGGTCACCATACCCAGCCTGTCCCTGCTCCCCCCAGCCACACACATCCGTAAATAGAAGTAAATAAGTTAAATCTTGGCACACCACTTCTGAAAGGCTGCCGACCCGTCTTATCTGATTGATACTGTCCTTTTGGACTTCCCAGTATACCCTTCTCATTTGAGATATTAAAAAAGAATGAATCATGTAAACATGTAACCGCTGAAAAATTCAGCAGTTACATGTTTACATGCACGGGGAGAGACAGCTCCCGCAAAGCTGCCTGTCCCCCTCCCCCATTCTGCTGCCTATGTATCAGAAGCAGCAGCACAGAGAGGGCAGGCGGGAGCCAGGACTGGCAGGAAACCAGCTTTTAAGCAGTCTCCCCGCAAGCACCAGCTCCTGTGTAGCCACCTGCACCCTACGCCTTCTGCGCAAAAGTGAGGCAGTAGCATGGGGGAAGGCAGCTTTGCAGAACCAGCTCCACACTTGTACCGGCTTCCATCTGCTCCCCTACTCACACTGCTGCCTCTCTATCAGAGACAGCAATGCAAGGGGGGAGGTGGTTCCTACATGTAATCATGAAGGTTAATCGACGAGCCCAGGGTTAACCCAGGGGTCAGAAATGTATGGTACACGTGCCATAAGAGGTGCAAAATGTGCGCCCTCTCGCTCCCCCCACCTGCAACAGGAAGCCTGTGCTGGCAATCCAGCATTGCATCCCCCTGCAAGTTTAGAGCCAGTGCCAGCTTTCTGCGGGGGAGGGGAAGAAGTCCCGAGGCTGTGTGTTAGATCCAGCCTGCGGGGAAGCATGTGCTGCTCCTTTCCTCCCCAGAGCAATGAGCGCACTTCCTTATCCACCTTACCTTCCCCAGTGCTCCGGGAAGTCGGGACACAGGAGCTACGTGACCTCCCACTGCCTGGGAGCTGAGGGCAGGAGACCAAGTGGGGCGCGGGGCGGAAAGAACCCTTTCCTCTCCGGGAGAGTGGGCATGGCCCAGGGTAGGAGAGTACACTGGGGCACACCACTTCTGAAAGGTTGCAGACCCCTGGGTTAACTATTTACACTGATACACTACCATATCCCTACTTCCTATCCCATTACATACCATTAGTACTCAATATCACTGACAGGGATTTCAAACATACCTGAATAAATCTCTTTCTGAATAATCCAAGACCTGGAGCTTGTAAATCTCCTAAGTTTCTGTACATTCCTTCATACATTTCCTTAAGGCTATTTTTATTTCTCTGAGTTTTTCCCAACTCATTTTTAACATCCTCAACCCAATCCTGCAGAGAGAGAGAGAAGGAGCTGATTACTGAAGAAAATTATTCACACACCTTCTCTTTTGTAACTCCATCAGATGGTATTAGATTTACTAATAATGTGAATTACAATTAAAAAGTCTGCTATAATCATTTTAGAGCAAGATGAAAGCTATAGGACTATGATATAAAATGCTGTTTTGTGTACTGTATTTTTTATGCCAGGCGGAGCTAGGGATGTGAACGACTAGTCAACTATCTGATAAGCAAATACTTATCGGATAGTCGACACGTGCTAGTCGACTGGTCACTTCCCCACTCCTTGCTGCCTCTATCAGAAAGAGGCAGTAGGGGGACGGGGACAGGAGAGGCGCTTCAAAGTGGCAGATTTCTCTCATCACAGCTTTGAAATGTTGTGGGAAGCACAGGGCCAGCAGGAAACTGCTTGAGTCCCCCCTGACCCCATTCTCCTGGCAGCGCTTTCGCCTTTGAAGTGCAACAATAGCCCTGGAACTGTTGCTACACTTAAAAGGTGGAGGCACCCTTATCGACTAATCGAATAGTCAATGTAAATAGCTGCAACTATTTCATCAGCCACATAATTGACATCCCTAGGTGGGCAAGCTGAGTATAGGGCCCAGTTGTTCTAGGCACTGTACAGAGACAGAATGAGACAGTCCCTAATGTAATGAATTTATACTCTAACTACACAAGACAGATATAAGTAGGATTAAAGAGTATACTGTATAAAGAGAAGGGATAAAGCAATGATTGCAAACACATTAGTTCTACCATATCTTCTGGTTTGGTTTTGTTATTTAAATCCTATTAGGAGAGGATTAGCTACATGAAGAGCTAAAGCATGGGTGGGGAACCTAAGTCCCAGGAGCAAGATTGGCACCTAGTTTGCCTGGATCCGGCCCCCATCAATCCCTGCAATTGCTCTGCCAGCCTCAGTCTGGCTGGCTCACCTCTGCATTTTCTCTCTCTCTCTCTCAACTGGCACATGGCTGAAAGGATCCTACTGTACCTTAAAGAGCATCACAGGATTAGAAAGCTGTTCAAGGGCATGAACAAAATCTTGAATCACTCCTCCTCTGTCTAATTTACTCTTTATCCTGTGAAAACAAACCATCAGAAGTGGACAACAGAAGCTTCCATTAACATATTCTTCTTCAGTCTTCACACAAATACTTTCTATATGCAAAACCTGAACAAGTAAAAATCTAAGGGGCACTTGGACAAGAGGGATTTGAGGATGGGAAGCTGCTCTCAGGCTGCAGAGGAGTAACAGTGGAATCTCTTCATGTCCTCTTACTCATTCAAGTCTGTCTGTCTCTCTCTACAACTTGTTATATTTTGACATTTGTTGAGAGTCTCCTGTGAAAATACCAACTTTTGGAAGTGACAGCTCTCTGGTGGGTACAGCAATCTGCATTATCAAGGTTGTACACATCTAGCACATTCCACTGAAGCTGTGTGTGCATTATTTAGTCTGAGCAGCACAAGAAGTGTGGACCTTTGTCGTCTTCTCTCAAATTAAGACATCATGCAAAAATGATGAGAAAAAGCAAAGGGACACATACAATGAAATTAAATTTACAAGGGCTGTGCGATAACCTATATGAGAAAGTTAGGCATTACAGTACCGTAGTCAAATAAAAGCTCTTGCCCCACCAACAAAAGGTGGTGGAAAAACAACGCCAGCGAGACTATGATGGCTCAGAACCCTAGAATAGGGAAGCAGCATGTTTTACACAATACGAGCAGCCTTCCAAAAAGGAAAGCATGGGCACTTACACTGCTTATGATGTACAAAAGATAGTTTTGTTAAATTACTTTTTAAAGAAATACTTTTAACAAATGTTTAATTAATTAATAAGTGTCTTTGCTTGGTTTTTACATTTGAAAGTCAGAGCCTTACTTTCCTCTTTTTGCTAAAGGATTTTGGCAAATATGAGCAGCTATAGTGATGTAACAGGAGACTAAGCTGTGAATTTCCCTCAACCTTAGCATAGCAGATAAGCAAGGAACCTCACTCTGATTTTGCACCTGAAACATATTTCAAAGAAGCAAGAAAAGGCCAATCTATTTCTTTTTTGCTTTGTAGTTTGTTTACAGGGCTGTGGGATGAGCAAGGATGATGAGTTATCAGCACCTCTAAAAATAATCTACCCACATATTTAAGAACCTAAGCAAGGATGCAGGTGCCTAATTTTAGGCACCCACTTTAGAAAAGTTGGCCTAAGTATTTCTTTTCCCAAGCATTTGAATCAAGTACAGGATATACCAGTTTATTTAATATTTTCTATGCTTTTTATTATCACTTCCTATTACAGAGTCTTACAAATTTGTGAAAAACATTTCACCTTGCTACGAACTCCTTGTTCTTGTGGCCTGTTGCAGTATCTTTGAAGATATAGTTTTCACTGCTGATCATGAAAGGATAGACGATTGCCTGCGGATAGCTATTTGCAATCTCTTCTACAGTATGTTGCACAGCTACTGCTTCCTCTTTGTCAAGCACTGCCATCAATTGGCTAATCCAACCAATGAACTGCCAGCAGGGAACTGATGAAATCTGCAAAACACAGACAGCGTTTTCAACTTCTGTATATCTTTAAAAATCCTGAATATGAACAAAAGCAAACAAAATTACTCTGTGTTCCTAGTCAACAGGCAGAAACACATCAAAAAATAGAGCATCACAGCCTCTCCCCTTCTTAGCTCTGCTCTTTATCCCAATGGAATTTAAAATGCTGACATAATAAATTACTTATCCAGATAATGAAGAAATAATAAAGGATTCCTGAGGAATGGCTATCATTTTTGTGGCATCCGTCAGCTATGACAGACTTCACCCATATTGTTCTAACAGAGAATTCATTACTGTCACAATTCTTAGGAACTGTTTATGCCGAGTGACCACAACAGTACAAGTGTGGTGCTGCAGTTATACTGCAATAGTCACTGTAATGTAGATGCTCGCTACATCCATGAAAGGGTATTTTCTGTCAGTTTAATTAATCCGGGTCTCAGAGAAATGGCAGTTAGATCAATTGAAGAACGCTTCCATCAACACACTTTAATCTACGGTAGGGTTAGACTGAGTTAACTAGCTTGCAAAAGGTACAACATTTTTCATAACCTCAAGCAATGCAGCTAAATTGACCTATGTTTTAGGTGTAGAGCAGGTTGTAGTCTTTCAGTCATGGCTTCCAGAACTACATTCTCAGCTCACTGGAGATAACCAAACTACGATTTTGTTGTTCTTATGCCTTCTCCAGTTGCCCTTATATCAATAAACTGCCGTCCAATCTTTTAAGTACTAGCATATATGGTCAATTTAGAAAGGGTTTTGAAACGTTGCTGGGCTAAAGTTGCACTAACAATGCCAGCATACATCTATAGTGCAGATACAACTTTCACTGATGGAAGGGCTTCTACCCAGTAGTGTAGGAACACCACCTCCCTGAAAAAAGTTTGCTTCTATCAATGGAAGCATTGTTCCATCAAAACACTGCATGTACACAGAGAGTTAGGTCAGCATAACTGTACATATCAGAGGAGTGTAACAGAACGTTTCAGTGTAGACCATGCTTGATATAGTAGACACAGTAGACAGGAATGTCACAAATATGCCTAGCATATGGGAGAAAAGTGGGTGTCTTACTACCATTGGCATGGGGAAATGGGTTACAAGTTCTTGGACAAGGGGTTTAGGAAACTTGAGGGGGAACATGAAGAGATGGAAGGAGTCTCTGGTGTGTGCAAAGTACTTGCCTGACAGAAGTGAAGTATGTGGTACCCTAGTCATTTTTCTTCATTAATCAACTCAGCAAAAGTGTAATGCAGTAAGTTCCCAACATCTTATTAAACTAACATGCAGATTTACATGCTAATCCAAAATTCAACATTAATTAAAACAATAAATATTTGGTTCACAATCAACTTTGCTGTCCCAAGAATGGAAGTAACTAACCTCTCGTGTCATTAGGCCAAGGGTCTCTGCTGGATACCTTTCTATTATTTGCAGCAGCCTGGGAAATTTTAGCCTGGCATCTCTGGAATTCAGTTTTAAAGCTTTTATCATTTTTTCTACTACAATGGCTGGGAATGTCTGCAGATCCAGAGCACTGATATCTACAAAAAACACACACAAATGATCAGAAACACCATCCTTTTACATTCCTTAGATCAGTGTTTCTTAAACTTTTTAAGATGGAGGAACACCAAACAATATATATATTTTTTTTTATGAGGAAGACCAAGGACTTTTTTTTTTCTCAACAAAAAGGAAAATAGGGTCGGGTGGAAAAGTTATTGAAGGAGGGAAAAATAAAGTCGCCTGTCCCTTGAAGGGTGGCCATTTTGAACTCTGCTGTTCTCCGCGGCACACCGGTGTACTATGGAACACAGTTTAAGAAACACTGCCTTATATCATCTAAAACATTCATCTTTACTTTTTATTGTGTCATGGGCATTCTTGGTGTTCTGTAGGAAATGAGTAACAATTTTTTGATTTTTTTTTTACTTTGTTGTTTCCCATTTGAAGACTTGTTTGAAATGCACACATCATTAGTACGTATCTTCTTGGACAGTAAGGACTAGCTTTTATCAGGAGGCTGCATCATCACTCGTATCTTGTCCATTTCATTATCATGGTCTGGAAAGGACCAGGAGGAGTATCTGCTGGATAAGATGCATATCCCACCAATAAAATAGAGACCTAATACTAATGGTGAAACCAGAGGCAGTTGTCAGAGAGAATAAGAAAGTATGTAAAAAACATCAGTGTTAAGGACAATCTGTTTATATTTAAATTCAAGCCATATAACCTGTTGGGATTTCAGGAGCAGGATGAAATGATTCATTTTTGATAAATTCTCTACAATGGAACTTACTTTTTTTGTTGTAAAATACCACGGCTTTGTCTACACTGGCATAATCTTGCACCAGAAATATGCAAATGAGGCTAAGCGTGGAATATCGCCGAGCCTCATTTGCATATCTAATGAGCCGCCATACACTGCCCCTTCTTGCGCAAGAAAAACCCTCTTGCGCAATGCCCTTACACTGATTATTTTCAGGAATAACGGCGTTGCGCAAGAGGATTTTTCTTGCGCAAAAAGGGGCAGTGTAGATGCTCCTTCTTGTGCAAGAGCCTCTTCTGCAAAAATGGCGGCTCAGATATGCAAATGAGGCTCGGCGATATTCCACGCTTAGCCTCATTTGCATATTTCTGGCGCAAGATCGCGCCAGTGTAGACATAGCCCACCTGTTTAATTCTTCCACCAAATAATTCTTCCATCTACAAGAATATTTGTAAATTTTCCATTTCCCACCTCTAACCCCTGTATTTTGACTGCTCTCTATTGGCATTCTCCGATCTGAAATTTGCATAACAACGGGATTGTAAATCCTGATAAATATTTTAATTTCTGATTTACCAGATGAACCTTCTTCCTCTTTACGGAGATGTTTGTCACAGAAATCAACCAGAGTCATGTAAGCATCTATGACTCCAGTCAGGTCCACGTGCTCCATTGAATGAGACTGCACCTCTTCTACAGCCTTCCTCACTGCAATGCTGAAATACTGGAAAGCTTTTTTGTTCAGACCTGCTATCACCTGAAAAATTCAATCATAAGTGGAAACCACAAGTAGAGTTCAGCAGATAGTTCGTGGTGAATAGTTTTATGCAAATGAACACTGATCACGTATGTGTCAAACATTTAATGTGACCAGTTCTTCATATGTAGCTCATTCTTGCTTGCAAGTATTCAATATTTGAAATTTAAGCTGTACTGGATACACAGATCACGCGCTAGGAGTTCTGTTCCCTTAATAGTCATAAGTCTTAGACTGGGGTTTCCAATGCAAGTTACATGTATAGTTTAAAATTCACTTTCTGTGGACACTTTCTACAATTTGGTATTTCTAAGCCAACAAACTCATTCAATAGACTATTTGCAAACAGTTAATGTGAAAGACACACAAACACAGTCAAAGAAAATTTTTTTAGTCTGAATGAATGTTCATGACAGCAAATGGAGAATTTTTGTTTTGTTAAGTTCTTTTGTCCAGCTCTCTAATTTTAACCTTTATTTATATACCCTTTGTCCTTTTTCTTGTATGTGGTCACCCCAGATGTTTTACAATACAATATATTTAATGGAAGAAATAATTTGCAAAGCATTTTACAAACTAACTTACCCAAACTCTGCATACAGATTTCATCATTTACCAATGATACCCACACCTTGTCAGTAATGTGCCAGCTGTTTAGCAGTATTTAACAACAGCACCCAAGAGTTTAGGAACAGCAAGTGGAAAACACTGTATCCAATATAAAACTACACTGATATTGTTGGAACAATTCCATGATCCAGGTTCCCTCTAAGCTGTGCAGCAGCATAGCCTCTCAGCTCCTTAATGAGCCCTGTCTAGCCAGAGGCTAGTGCGCCACACACATTGCTGCCTGGCTGAGGGAGGGGTACTTCTCCCCTGCTGAGGACAGAGCAGCGAGTCTCTCCCAGTGGGTACCCAACCTCTCCCTGCTCTGTCCTCAGCAGGGAGCTGCTGCTGTAGCTGAGGGAGAAGTACCCCCTCCCCAGCCAGGCAACAACATGTGCAGAACCCTGGTTAGGCAGGGCTCTTTAAGCAGCTGCGGGGCCGTGCTACTGCACAGCTTAGAGGGAACCTTGTCCAGGATACAATCCTTTTGACTAAAAGGAGACAGGAGAATGAATACGATAATGGGTATCTCCTTAAAAATCACTTTCTAGAACTATATTTTGTGATGTATCCTATTGTCTTGGAAACTCTACAACTCGAGGAAAGGTTGGTTCTCTAAAGCTGACCTTGTAGCTAAATGGTTCATATTACTTAGATGAAAGAGCCAACTGCATCCAGCGATAAAAGCTTGGCTCAGCAACTTGGCTAATCTAGCAGCTCAGAGCAGGTAATATTTTCCAGAACAGGAACTTCAGACAAATTTGAAAAGAGTTGGTCTCACTTTTTAAAAACATTTGATTAATCCCTAGTGGATGGAAGCCAAAAAGTCACTTTCTCCTCCCTACTCACACGTCCTTTCTTCATTTTCCCTCCCTTCCAATTCTTTTGTTTTTTCTGTTCTCCCCTTATTTGTTTGGGGGTGGAAGAGAATCAATATAATAAAAAAATTCTACAATGTGGAATTTGGTCAGGACACAAGTATTAACATTGGTAGATCTTGAAGAAGGTGCCATGTAATCTCAGTTTGGTGGCTCATCCATAAGGTAGTACAGTGCCCTGTAGCCTCATGCAGCGACACCGGTTAAAATATTAACTCAGAGGGAACAGAATCATCCACAAAATCCTGGACACCACTTCCTGTTGTATCTTTCTGGAGGTCTCTCATAAGTGATCTTTCTTAGTTTTTAAGGATCACAGCAAAAGATTTCATTATCACTTTTCAACTGTTCGTTATGAATGTTGTCATTGTGGTAGAGTAACTAGCACACTCATTTTTAACTTAATTGTATGATACATTTATACTCTAGAAATCCAAGTGTTATTCTCAGGAGCCTTTCTTTTCTACATCTTACTTTTGCTTTCCAAGAATTACAACTAATTTTTGTGCTTGTTTTATCAACACTGTTCATTTACAGCTTGCTCCCCGACAGACAAGTACATGGATTTGTTTGTTTTAACTGTAGTTAATAGAGGGGAGCTATCAAGATCAGGAGATGCAAACTGATATGTGTAGTTAACTCTCCATTTGGATCCCTTTGAAAGACACGTTCAGTTCCAGGGTATCTTGAACAACTCTTAGTACATATATTTGACAATCTGGTAGGGTCTCCAATTGGATGTTCTTCATAATGTACTCCTGCTCAATTAAAGCAAAGAACAGTAGGACAAATCATACTTTTTTTGGCACCCTCCTAGCTGAGGTAGATCATTAAAATGATTGACCAATCATTATGATAAATAGAAAATCAGTTGTATTAATATTAGGTGGTGACCATTTTCATGCAAGATCCATGCTACCAGCACTGACTGATGTTAACATGGGTATCAAAGAGCACTACTCATCCAACTATTAAGTTTCTTGCCTTTATGAATGCACATGCTCTAAGACAGACTTCTTTCCTCCATGTAAGATGTTAGCAAGGACAAACCCTTGCACAATCATGGAGGCTCTGAAAAAAAAACCAGATTCAAACTTCCACTAGTTTTACTTTGCCATCCTGGTGGGTGTTCAGGGTAATGAATCCAGCAGTAAATGTGGGCAGGTGGGAGAGGGGGGCCTTTGCCCAAATACAGAGACTGTCCAAAGGCAGGAACCCATGACTGACTAAAAGGGGTCCAGGCCAGACTAACAGCTGCTATAACACTGCTCTCACAGCTGCAGCTCATTGGAGAACTGTTAGCAACAGAGAAGTACTAGCATGAGTCTACTGTAGTAATACAGACTGAATGTAACTGAGTTAATGAAGTACATAACAACATTAGCTATCTAGAGCAATGAGTAAGAAGTTCCACTCCATTCTCACTTACCTTCTCAGAGTTTTCAGGTTTCTCTCCAGAAAGCATCACAACTTTTCTAGCTTTTTCTTCCTCAATTTTCTCAAGACATCTTGGATCTTTGCTAAGGGCACTTGCCAAAATATTGTAAGTGGTACCCAGCAGAAGGTTTTGGTTGCGGAAAGCCACTAGATTCTTACTCAGGTAGTCAGACTTGCTCTCATCTGTTGGAATTCAGAAACAATAGTTGAAATTTATCAGTAAAAAGGATTCCCATTACAAACAGGAAGATAATCTGTAGTACTGCATCAGTGGAGTGAATAGAAAACATGATTACCCAGTAAAGACGTGGTTTTCAACACAGTGAGCATTTGTTCAGGACTATTCTGGCTCTGACTGCGACTATGACTAAAGCGGCAATAGCTGTGATTCCATCTCAAGAGCCAGTCTTCTCTGGTTTTAGACTCTTTGTGCAGATCCTTCAGAAGCTTCATGGCGACTGAGAAGCTGTTCTACAGTAACAGATCAAAATGGGGATTTTCAATAATGCTTTAGGAGAAGGGTAGGGAATAAAACTATTGTTTGCAGCAAATCAAAGATCAAAGGCTTTTTCAATAACAGAATTCACAAAGTATAAAAGGAAATGTCCCTGGAATTCTAGCAAAATGTGAGGGGTTCCACTGCCAGTTGGGATGTGTGTATATATATAAAAAAAAGGCCTGCACTAATATTTGATAAAAAAATACACAAACAATCTAGCTCTATTCATTTTCAACTCGTAATCCTATTTAACATACAAACATCAACATTTCCCAACTTGGTATCTAAATCTATATTGAGACCCTCTAATGGGTGGTTGACTTTCAAAGATACTGACCATAACCACCACTGAATTCAGTGGGAACTTTGGGTACTCGGCACCTCTGAGGAATAGGGTTCAAAGAGCTAAATAGATTCATGGAGGTTAGGTCCATCAAAGGCTATTAGCCAGGATGGGTAGGAAATGGTGTCCCTAGCCTCTGTTTTTCCGGAGGTGGGTGACAGGGGAGGGATCACGTGAGGATTATCCGTTGTGTCCCCTCCCTCAGGGACATCTGGTATTGGCCACTGTCGGCAGACATGATACTGGGCTGGATGGACCATTGGTCTGACCCAATATGGCTGTTCTTATGTTCTTAAAATGTGTTTAGACACCTAAGTTTCTGCGTCTTTGTATTTGAACCGCTGTTCCATTCTAGATATCTGGACACGTAAGCATGTAGAGTGCACAACCCAAGGAGATAGGTGTTCCTCCACCTAACCTGGCAGAGGACTTAAGCTGGTAAGCACACTCAGAGCTTGCTTGCTAGATTGAGCCCCATAGGTAAGCTCATACAAAGCAGCCAATTTGTAGATAAATAATTAAGAAGTTATTAGGCGGGAGAGCAACAGAGAATCTGATGGTTAAAGGATTCATCCAGGATGTGGGAGACCCAGGATTCAGTCTCCCTGCTCTAATGACTCATTTTTCCAGAGAAGAAAAGCTTTAAAAGGAAAGACAGAGAGCCCCACGTAACAATATCCCATAGCCCAGTGGCTAGAGCATTTACCTGAGACATGGTGGCAAATCCCTCTTCAGATCCTTTCTCCCCATCGAGAGAGAGAATGAAGCTTGAACCAGGGGCCAGCCACTTCTAACCACTGTGCTAAAAAAAGTTACGAGAGTCCCCTCCCCTCTTTTTCCTCTCACCCGGTCTCTTACAAAAATTACAGATACCTAACTCCAAGAGAGGTTTTGCAACTGAGACTCCCAAGCACTGGGAGGCATCTCCCTGCAGCCCAGATTCAGATGCCCTACTCTCTGAGAAGGGTGGGGTTTAGGACACATGCCCTTTGCCTTAGCATCTCCCATTGACTAGCTTAGGCAGTGAGCATCCTAGCATACTAGCTTTAGTAAATCCTATTTTAGGTGCTTCTCTCACTCCATTCATCATACAGGATGTCTGAGCACGAAGCTCAGATTTTGTGCATCTAAAAGGCATGATGACATGGGAGTATCACAACATCTTAGTCTTTTTGTGAATCTAGCTCCTCATTGCTAACTTGAAACAAACACTGGTCACAAGATCTGTTAATGTTATATAGAGCATTACAGTGTTTATGAGTGGGCCAAAGTAAGTGATATTGGTTCAATCTCAGTTTGGTTTGTATTGTTTTACATGGAACATTGATTTGTAAATTTACTAGAGTATAACATAAAAGTATGTTAGAAATATAAATATATGAAATGTAAAAGATTTAAATTGTGATATATTATACCATTTTTACTTGCATACTTCCCCACATCTACTCCAAATTATTAACTGTAACGTTTCTGATGCTTTATTTCTTTGTTCTAGAAAGGATCAGGGACAGAAAGTAAAAGAGACTTTGGGAACATTTCCTGAAAATGCATATTTTAGAAAAGTTGTAAATTAACAGTAATCATCTACAGTTCTAGAGAAAGAGAACTAGAAGTCCAAGAACATCCCGTGGGGGAAAAAACCTACATCGGCAGCAGTATGCCTGACCACCCCCAATCTGTCTTTCCCAGTTCTAATTGCTATGGCTTTCTGACAAATCAACCACTACCAGACAGTGCAGAGTCACCTGTTTCCTGGCACACTCTATCATCTTCATTTTCATGTTAAATTTGCAGCTTTTAATCACTGAATGAATGTCTTCTTCCTGCATATTTCCTTCTATTTGGTCACCACCATCTCCCTTTCCATCCACTTCCATACTATCATCAGCCTGGATGTTGGGCAGTTTCTCCTGAATTTTTCCAAGAAAGAAACATCTGCATAATGGTGAAAGGGAATATAAGACTTTAACATACAGTGGGAAGCACACAGGTGATTTTAATTCTTCCTCTCTTCTCTCTATAGTCAATGCTGCAATCTTTCCCACTGGTAAATATGGCTAAGAAGCTTCAATCACTGATTGATGTCACTATTACTTATGATTGTGATCCTCCTCAGTAAGGAGTAGGTATATTCAACTAATAGAATGAATAGTCACAACTAGAATGGACTGACCTACTGAGATACCAGAGGTTTTGAAATGGTGTCCCTGACAGATTTCATTTTTTAATCCTGATTATGGGGTTAGGATTTGTATTGGAGACTGTGGACTCTAGATAACATATTTTAACAGAATACTGACACAATTGTAACGAGACAAATCTATGGTCCTGGTCCTGATTGGGAATGTGAACAACTACTCGACTATCCGATAAGCAAAATGCTTATCAGATAGTCAACAGGTTAGTTGCCTAGTCACTTCCCCCCCTTGCTGCCTCTATCAGAAAGAAGCAGTGGGGTGAGGGGAGAAAGACAAGGGGGTGCTTCAGAGCGGCAGTGCCGCGTGGAGCCCGGGGCCAGACCCTGGGCTTCATGTGATGCTGCCACTTTGAAATGCCGCATGCAGCCCAGGGTCAGCTGAGAACTCCCCTGTTGACCCTAAGCTCCATGCAGCACTGCTGCTTTGAAATGCCACGGGGAGCACAGGCCCAGCGGGGGACTGCTTGAGTCCCCCAATGTCCCCATACTCCCCGCAGTGCTTTTGCCTTTGAAGTGCATCAGCAGTCCTAGGGCTGTTGCTACACCTCAAAGGTCCCCCAATGTCCCCATACTCCCCGCAGTGCTTTTGCCTTTGAAGTGCATCAGCAGTCCTAGGGCTGTTGCTACACCTCAAAGGCAGAAGTGCCCTTATTGACAAATCGAATAGTCAATGCAAGTTGCATTGACTATTTGATTAGCCAAATAACTGAAATTTTAAATCCCTAGTCCTGATGCCAACATAACTATAAGAAACATAAGTGCCAGCTAGGACTGTCAAACATGAGATTTCCAGTTCACAGTAAATTCAATATTTCAAAGAACATTGGTGAAGCTGACAAGAATCATGTCAGTTTCAGCCAGTAGCTGACAGGGTTTCCAGCGGCTGTGGGTCCAGGGAAGCCTCACTAAGTGCACAGCTCTGTCACTGGAGACTGCAGAGCTTCCAAACACCTGGGCCAACTGGCTCCAAATCTTTCACATGAGTTGGTCCTGAGAGCCAGCTGACTTGGGAGAAGTCTGCATGGCAGGGCTTCTCATAGATATGGACCCTAGAAGCCCAGGCTCACCAGAAGTCTGTTAGGAAACCAAGCAGGACTCCCTTGGAAACTTGTCTGTGATTCAATCAAAGTTCAAACTAGTTGTGTGAAACACATCAAGTTCAATAAATCCACATTTCCCAATGAAACTGTTTCACTGGAAAAATCCTGACCAGCTCTAGCTCTAGCCAACATCTCATGTCAAACTTTGACCCAACTGTAATTATTGTTTACGTTTGAATAAGTGCCCTTTAAGATCTGAATGTCAGTAATGCCGTGAAACTCCAGCCAATACAAAGCCTCATTGAGATATCCTTACTCACAGTGACTATTCTTGCCTATCTCTGTAAGAAGGCCCATCAACTTCAGTGGTATTATTTATCGTGTAAACTGTTATTCAATCTGAGTAGGGATGACACAGACTGCCCCTGTTATGGGTGCTGTGCAAACACCATAGAAATACAGTCCATGTTTCAAGCAGCCTTAGAGACTAATTTACGACAAGACACGAGTAGTATCAATAGCCCACAGCAAGCTTTCAGCTATCTGGTAACTCTTCAAGCTTGTAAGTCTGGGGGCTTTCTCGAAGGATAAAAGCATGAAATGTTTTTTGGTTCACCTCTAACCTAAGCTAGGTCCTTTGCATAGGAGACTTTGGCTGCTGCCAAGCCTGTGGAAACTCCATAATCAGCAAATTTTAAGGTTCTTATTCTTGGCTCAGAGACAGGTAATGATGAAGACTGAGGGACAGAGTGATCTGAAGTTGGACTAAGCGAAAGAAAAGAGCTGTTGCTATGGGAAGGAGCAAGATATCAAAACATCTGAGCCTTTTAAAGACCTTGTCTACAGAAAGTCTCTCAAGGGTCAGCCATTTCAAGTAACTGTTACATAGCAGTGTTTTGGTTATAGTAATCGTTAAAGGCAGCCACGCAAAAAACTGAAGAACATGCTGATGACTGAGGGTGGGCTCTTTGTATAAAACCCTGTTAAAAGCTCTAGCTGTTCAGAGACATTTGATAATTGAGAGCCCAATTTTATGACTTTTACTCGCATTTGACAGGGCACTTAATGAGTAGCCCAATTGTGATATATACAACTATTCACGCACATACTCCTGAACATATGTAAGGACTGCAGAATTGGGCCAAGAATGGCTGCTGATACAAATCTCAATTTATAATCCTTATTGTGTACCTAGCTACTGATGTATGTCAAACAATGTTTGGCTTTAAGCTATAGATCCAATCTACTGACTTACACTATTTATATGAAAACACCTTCTTGTCCACCAACCCCATCTGCCTTTTTGCTATTCTCCATATGTTAATAATATGAAAACAATTTGTTCCATCTGAAAGGCAAGATACAATAGTACTTAGAAATCACCAAGTGCTGGATTCCAAACACACATTTCTACAAGCAATATCAGAAATACAGCAAGCTTAACTAACATGTAAAATCATAGTTAAGAGACAAGTATGACAAGTATCTCACCGGTTTGTAATGATGTCATCCCAGATGTTCATGGGGTCCATTTTATCATCTGGATATCTGTTTGTCCAAATTCTGAGAAGTCTCTTAAGGGAAGCTTGAGAACCTAAGCAGCCTAAAATCAATTAAAATACTTTAAGAAAAGGCTGCATGGAGGCAAACTGAAAATCAAACGATGTTTAGAACCCAATAAGAGACTGACACAGCAGCAACTACAGTTACCATAACGAAACTCACTCAAATTTCATGGCTTCTATTAAATAAATCATTCAGTCTGGTTTTTATTTTCCATGTATTGTTGTATCTCACTACTAGAGAATAAAAGTAGCAGTAATTGTCACTGGAAAAGAATAACAGTTATTACCAGTGTTCCTTATAGAAGTAAAGTGGAATACAAGGGTACAACTGTACAATGTTAACTAAAGTTTAGTACTAAGTTGACAAGACATAAGTAACTATATTTCATGCCTAAAATTACAGATATTAATAGAACATACGATACATTCTCTGCTGTGAATTATGTTAATTTTCTCGCCAGGGCTAGAAAGATAAAACATAACATAACATAGCAGATGACGCTTTTTTAAAGTATCCTCATTGTATCACACAGATTCCAAGACTTTTGGCACATGAAAATAACCACACTCACTCTTCTGAAAAATACTGGAAAGGGGTCATATCTTACTTGGTTTGCTTATAAAATTGATGAATTCTTGTATTTCGGTTAAAGCCTGGACAGACTGTAGCTTTGTTAGTCGACTTTGGTGTAACAGAGTATCAATACTGGAGTAGTTCTAGTAAAGGGGAAATGATTTTTAATGATTGAATAAAAACATGATATGTAAAGCAGTGAAGAGCAGACAGCTGATTGTTTTATGTGCAAAGCTCTATTAGATTATGATTCATTCATCCTTAGAAAACATGCATAAAAACAGCCTAGTTAGGTTTAGAGATGTGACTAGTCAACTACCCAATAAGCTTATGCTTATTGGGTAGTCAGGTAGAGACTCAACTAGTCACTTCCTGCCTCCCCTGCTGCCTGTATCAGACAGAGGCAGCAAGGGGGGGCAAGAGCGACAGAGGCTAGCAGGGGACCAGGTGTAAGCCAGGAATCAGCTGATTCCTGGCTTACACCCAGTCCTCCCGGCTATGCCTCTGCCTCTGCCTTTTAAATGTATTAAGAGCCAGGTAGCTCTTAGTACATTTAAAAGGCAGAGCTGCAGAGGGGTTAGCTCCCGCTGCAGCTCTGCAGTTTCCCCCGAGGGTATGTCTACACTACAGTGCTAATTTGAACTAACTTAGTTCGAATTAGTTAATTCAAACTAATGCATCCAGACTAAAAAACTAGTTCAAATTAGTGTTTTGCTAATTCGATCTAGCTTGTCCACACAGAGTGGACCCTGAACCGGGGTTAAGGATGGCCGGAAGCAGTGCCGGCAGGGCATCAGATGAGGACTTAGAGCGTGGAGCTGCTGTCTCAGGCTAGCCAAGGGCTGTGCTTAAAGGGACCCGACCCCCACCCCGGACAGACAGTTCTCAGGGGTGCCCCGCTTGCAAAGCAGTCCTGGCTTGGATTGCCCGGAGTACCCACACTGGGCACATCACAGCACTCGGCCATCAGACCGGCTGCACTTGCCGCATGCTGCCATCTGGGGAAAGGGGGCAATCGGGGGGCTGCAGGAGAGGTTCCACCCCCAGAAGCCCGCAGAGCCAGCCCAGTCCTCCCCATCGGGGGCGCGTACCCCATTTCTCCCTCACCTACTTCCACTTACCCCTCCCTAGCCCCCCTTCCTGATGTACAAAATAAAGGACAATTGTGTTCAAAAATAGAATCTTTCTTTATTGAACAAAACTCGGGGAGACTGGGAAAAGGAGGTGGGAGAGGGGAAGAGAGAGGCTGGGAGAAGGGAGGGCAACTACAATGATGAGGGGTTTGGAACAGGTCCCATATGAAGAGAGGACAAACAGACTGGGACTTATCAGCTTAGAAAAGAGGAGATGGAGGGGGGATATGATAGAGGTCTATAAAAGCACGAGTGGGGTGGAGAGGGTGCATACA